GATTATTTTTTTTCCCCTCATTCTTTTGGTTTTAAAAGAAGACATTGTATTGCAATTGTACTCCCTATCTCTGTATTCTTCATTTATCCTAGCCTAGTTTTTTCAAGCAGGTTTGCATAAAATAACACAATAGATAGGAGAACTAAATTGAGCTTACTGCACACCAGTATGCTGTTTTTTCTTGCAAACTGTTTGAAGTAGAATATTGAGTGGCATAAAACTTGGCATGTGTAACTCTTTGTCAAAGTGTATTACACCTGGAGCCCTGGATGTATCGCAGGTAGTCCATAATTAGCCCGGAGCATGCTGTATTACTGCTTTATATATCGACTCCTATAGAGCCACATGATCCATATGTCCCTTTGATTGGTTAGCGCCTGTTGCTAAATGCATGGTGCGGGTTTTCTGCTTTTTTGTCAGATTAGAAGAGATGACACTTTGTGCTGTTGACGTGTGGAAAAATACATATAACATATTTCTCATAATCAGACTATGTCTTGCTGGATTTAATATTCACTTTCCATATATGCAACGTTATTCAGTACATAAATACTGCTTTCCAAACTGCCTAGCCATTCTTTTTGGGTTTTGCACGACAAAATTTGCCTCTCAGCTTGGTCAGGCACTTAACTACTTTATAATATGTAGGTCGGTGGATATAATTTCTGTCATTCTGTGGCATTTATACGGCCTGTGCAAAGCTTCTTCACATCAGGGAGACCTGACTTTGACCCTGAAGAGTAAAACTGACTGCTTTACCTTTTTTTTTTTTTTATCAGTGAGATGTTGATTTGAAAGTCTTGAGTTTTCTCCCTGTCATTTGAGTTGATGCAGTATATTTTAGCTTGGGGGGAGGCTATCCACTCAAAGGGAGCATGTACATGAGCACCAATGTAAGTAAATCTTGGGTGGTCCTGTGTCTCAGCCACTGCAGGGTGGAACACGCTGGAACCCTCACTAAGATGTGGTTTTTGTTTTGTGCGTTTCCGTGTGTGTCCGTGCGGGCGAATGTAGAATGTATACTTTTCATTTAGTGTGGTATGTAATAGATGTCAGTACAAAGGTACCGCATCACTATCAATATTCTGTCTGCGCTGTCTGTCGCTGGCTCAATTGATGATTTTTACAGCCCTCAAGTATCTCGTTTCACAGTTCAAGTTTTCCCATATGGGAATCAGAGAGATGTTTTAGCCCTGTTATAGGCTGTTAGCTGCTGAGCTGCTGCTTGGTGATGTGACACTGCTATTCTGCAAGGTCCATATCACAGCCAGCTTTTATTTAGTCAATAGTGCTCAGTCCCATTCAGCTGCCTTAGTATATTTTTCCTTTCTTTTCCTATTTTTCTGGGCGTCACAGCTGGTTAATTTATCTTCTTACATTGTGTCACTCTGACTTGGCACGTTGCCTAGTCATTCATAGTGTCAGTGGACATGTTCTGGTGTTGTTTTTCACAGGAAGTGATGTCACCACGAACATTGCAGCCCACATTGCCAAATACAGTCCCAAGGGCATGTTGCATGGCAACCATAAAGTGTCATTGTCAAGAGGATTTGTGAAATGTAATATCATCCATAGGGGGCAGGGACACCAGCAGAGGGGACAGCTCTTCAGCACAGAGCTGCTGGACCAATCTGCTTATTCCTGCTCTGCACAGATATTATAATAGGTGCTTGGATGGGTGTTTGTGTGTCCTGAAGTGTCTTTGGTTCAGTTAACCACTCCAAATTTTTTCCTTAGTTAGACCTTGGGTCGCACATTCGATCCTTTTTTGACCAAATGTTACTGTGAATGTGATGAGTGGACAAGTTGAATGAGCTGATAAATTCTAACAAAAAGGGGGTTTATTTGTGTTTGGATTGAACTACAGGAATCTGGTTAAAAATGTAAAGGTCTTCTAAGCCTCTTCCATTGTGTGTGTCTCTGTTCTACCCACATGATGCACCTGTGTCATTCAGCAGATGGGTTAGAGTTCACTGCTTAACTCCAGTCACACAGACGAGGAAACTGTCAGTCTTTGCTGAGCTGAATGGAAAGATTGTCAACAACTAAACCAAGAGAGTTGAAAGAAGCTCTTGGAGTTAAAGTTGGACTAGAACTGGCTATCTTATTTTTCTTTTGTTAATATAATGCACTATATTATGCAAATTGCAGTCAGTGTTGTAGTGTGATAGTTATTCCTCTATTTATCTCCATCTGGTTGGAGGATTTCTAAGATGGTGATGGGAAAAAGAAGAGAATGTGTCAGTCACATGTCTCTTTCTGTTTCAGTCTGGTAAATAAGTTAAGTTTTTGATGAATGTAAATGGAATTGCTGTGTGTTGGAGGAGAAATGGAGATTAAATTATCAACTGGAAATGGTTGATAAAAAATATTCTTTAACCCTTAAATGCTCACATTGTGACTAAACAATATGGAAGTTCTGTAAGAAACAGTAATCCAGTTGATTTTTTTGTGACACAGACACTCTAACAGAAGGATTGGTGATTAATAGGAGAAGGTATTTGCTTGTGTGGGAATCTTTGCTCAGTGTTTAATGTAATCTCATATGACCAAGCCCCACAGGGACATCCTCCCCACTAGAGACCTACCTGCTCATGCACCATGTCTGAATGGGGCTGTGACGGACTGTGTGGCGTGTAGCGCATGTTTCCCTTTGTGGGAACGAGGGGGTGGGTTGGTTATGCGTATGCAAGGTTGTTGGTGAGTGAGAAGGAAAAAATTGTGTGATAGTGTGACAGCCGTTCATATATATATATATATATAAAAATTTTTCCCCCCATTAATATCACACCAAGCCAGAGATTTGGCGCCTGTGGCTCGCAAAAAGATAATACATGTGGAGAAGCGCAAGATAGGAAGTGTCTGCATAAGTGGTGAGAGAATATATGTGGAAAGGTCACAAAAATAATATGTGACAATGTGTGGGGGAAAAAAAAAAAGAAAAAGAAGAGGGAGTTCAAGCATGAAGCATTGGCAAAAAAAATAAAAGCTTGTGTCTATTCATTGTGCAATCTGCTATTATTTGGGCTCCTGATATTCTAACATCTTAGCAGTCTGCCTCGGTACTATAATTGTACATCAGGCCAATGGTGAGAATTTTAACACTCACAAACTACCAAAGGTATTTTAGAGAGAAAACAATCTGCAAACTATGTAGGAGCTTTAGCAAAGCTCTGAATTCTTAACTCCATGAACTCCAGCAGCTCCCTTTGTGAGCGTTAGGATACGTGCGAGCATTAGTGTAGTCACGCAACTGCAATTTCTGACTTTGATACACAATCCTAAAGAAAAGGAACAAACAAACGATGTCTTTTTTTACTGAAAGAAACTGAGATTTTTGTTTTTAGTAAAAGATAAATTCAACAATGCTGCAACATTATCGCAAGCTACAGTTTTACACTGATGAAAGGTAGCTTGTGTTGTTTCCATACTGGTTTGTCTCAATTCCTAATTATATCCCAAACAGCCCTCTTGCTCTTTACTTTCCTTACTGAAACCCGTTGGGGAGGTTCTGCACTTGATGTCTTTCTAATGCCATAACAAAACGCTGTTCAACTTGAGCAAATGATTCAAGTAACAAGACGAAGATAGCCGTTTGAATGAGTTGGAGGAGGCAGGGTTATGTGTCGGAGAGAGGAGGGTGAAACCACATAGCTGGTATCGACGTGTTGTTACTGTGGAAAATGAATACTGAAACCATTCCATATATTCAGAATTGATATATATATTTATATATATATATAAAGATAGACATTTTTGACAACTCTTGCAAGCGTTCCTTACAATCATTTCAGTGCTGTAGTTGTATGTATGTCAGGGTTTAAAACTGCATGCTGACAGCTGTACAGAGAGATATTCTTATCGGATATAAGGCTTCAGTTGCTTCTATTCCTGATGGACTGGAGTGCAGCAGTAGTAGATCTGTGAACACTTATACTACCGGGGATTTTCTTGCACAGAGATTTTTTTTTTTTTTGCCCCAAAAAAGAGGTTTTTAGGCACCCCACGAAGAGATTTTAGCCAGCGGCAAATGAAACTCACAAGCACCAAAATGAGGGGAAAAAATATTTTTAACCACTCATGTTAACTGGAGTTTAATTTCCTCAAACATTACAGACATTTTTGTTTGTAAAGAAAAAGTCTAAAATAGCAGGAAAATGCAAAGATTTCTGTCAAAATATACAAATACAGACTCATTCCTTTTCCCTTTCCTTGCATAAGTCAACCCCCAAAGGCCTGTTCTGAGCCAGGAAAAACCATGACTGTTCTATCTTAGTGTGTACTGATGGAAATCTTCAGAGACTTGTGCATGTGCAGTCTGCAGTCAAATGATCAGATGGTTTTGGATGTGTATCTATCCTTCTATTAGAATCCATCAGGCAGCCTTTCACCCAAACAGTTCCTTAATCCAACTACTTAGAAGCAGTTAAAATGCCTGAATGGAGATTTAGTGTAAAATAACTTTTTTTGCAGTTGTCTTTGCCTCACGGTTGTTGCTGTAAAGCGCTTGCAAAAGATTTCAGTTTGTGCTTAAAGAGCTCGGCTACTCTTAATATGAGGTTTGAGTCAGACAAATTAGAAGTTTCTCCAAAGGTCCCTGTCATTTTAGCACACAACCCCTTTCTGTGGATCTACGCCTCACCTGATTCGCTTTATTGTGAAAACTGTGCTGGTACCGACACTGTAAACACATTTCTCCCACTGGTGTTTTGTAGGACGTCGCACATTTGCATGACAGTTCGAGTCAGACACTGATTTTTGCGTGATTAGGGTTGAAGACGCCTAGATTTTTTAAAAAATATGCGTAAAAAGCATGTTGTTGTTTTCATATCAAATGTTTAAAGACGGAAGATGATGTCTGGTTACCTCAGGGCTGCATCTTCAAGGCATTTGTCAACCCAGAATACGCCTATAAACAACAGCGCGGTAAACATCGTGCACTTGGAACAGGTTTTTTTATTTCTCTGGCCATTGTTTCATTGTGTCTTTCTTTCCCTCAGGAAAATTGTCATCAAGATCGGAAAGAAGAAAAAGCGAAAGCCAGACTCTTCAGAGGAGTCAGATGATGACCCTCCCCCTCGACACACTCCTAAAGATGACGACTCTGTAAGCTCCAGCATACACACTCGCAAACGAACACAAACAGACGTATAAACACGCCGTACGAGTCAGCTTTTTATCATAGCTGGAGCTGTAACGCTTTACAGCACATCTAGCGTATTTCATTGCACTTTATCAAATAAAATATGAACCCTAAACTGTGAGGAAACACTTGGGTTTTAGGTGGAAATTAATCTACTTTTGACTGTGGTTTAATTCCCCACTTTATTCAGATGTGGTGCTAGCGTTACTGCCTGTGGTGTCACACCTCTGCAGAGAGAAAACAAAGGCAAAGGCTGACTCTTTGTCTGTTACCAGTCTGATAAAAGTGAGCGAGTGAAGTGGTGTCCTCGACCTGACTGTTCACACTGCTGCCGAGCATAGAGGAAGGCTTCACAGCTTTAGTTTGAGCCTGCAAGGATTGACTGCGGTTCACGTGGAGGTCATTCAGTGGGTGGCTATCTCAAGTAAACATTCTTATCTGTGTTGATGATGGAGAAAACTGACAGCGAAGAGGAATTATCTGGGTCAAAACATCAAGAATAGCAGTTTTACATGCACACCAGCCTAAATTTAACACTAATGGCATGTTAAATTGTGTTCAGCATTGTTCAAAATTGTTAATGTGAAAGGAAATGTTGCCACAGCTGCCAGTGAAATTGAAGTGTCTCCTTATTTATTTTTATTTTTTGTCAAAGTCAGAGTAATTAGAGCTACATTCTGGTGGAAAATTAAATACTGCTCTATTGAATTTGAGATTATTAAAGATAGGGAAAAAAAGACAGGCGATGAGTATCAAGTACATCTTATTTAACTTTGTTGAGTTGTCCCAAATTATTGTACAGATATTACTTTACCTTAGTTATAGATTACATTGATCAGAATTTTATCAATGCAATTGGTTGAAATGTACAAATGAAATATTGGTGGCTATAAATAATATTTCTTTTATGCAAAATCTGTAATTTTTTGTGATCTTATCTCAAAGTGTTTAAAGTGCAGCTTTATCATTAAAAGGTGGGAATACTTCATTGTAGATAGTCAGGTAGAAATAATTCAAGGTCAGTTAGTCTGTAGTGACCTTATTGGTCAGTGGAGCAGGTGGAAGTTAGACTGGACATTCATAGTTACCATGCCTAGTGCTGATCAACCACCAACCACAGCAACGTTACGGCTGTTTTCTACGTGATGTGACTAATCCTGACACCCGAGATGATTCTGTATTTCAGCAGTTAAAACACAGTTCTGAGTTGTGTTCTTCTTTACTCACTGCTGTCAGGATTTTGACAAGTGACATGTCTGAATGAGCGGGGATGACAAGGGACTTTGTCTCCTCTTACGCCCCACCACCTCATTCGCTTCTTTTTGAGTCCTATCCGGACTACATCCTATGATATAATTACGCTCGTTAAATGGCGCCCCCGGCCTTAATTAAAAAAAAAACTCTGTTGATGACTCATTTAGGATGATCGTGTGGCAGAAGTCGAGGTAGCGTGGCCGACAGCTAGAACAGAAGCACGGTCTCCTCAGGGGTTCAGCCCTGTTGTCGTGGCATGTGGCAGGTTTGACTCTCCAGCTTCTGGTCAGCTTGGCTTTGTGGATGTGAGGGTATATCTCCACAGGGATATTATGCTGCACACCTAATTAACTTTGGCTCAGTGGCATTTATTCCTAATTAACTACATATTATCATTAGGAGGGGTTCATGTATTGATGCAGGATACAGCAGCCCACGCATGTGATAATTATAAAGGCTTGACAGGAAGGAATAGAAAGAAGCTGGATTTTAAAGCGCTCTTGTTTCTGATTTTTTCTCATTTGCAGAGTGTGTTTTTTTTTCTGGATTTCCTGCTTGATTTATTGAAATTTAACAAGATCATTCATGGGTTATGTTGGGTCATGACCTGCTGAATGGGAAAACCCATATTATCATTTTCAGCAGGGAGAGTGTGAACGTTGAATGTTTTTTCCGTTCATGTTTTTCACCCATTGAGTACAACAAGTACAACTCGATTGATAACCAGAATTGTTATCTTAATGCTACTTTCGATAGTTTGTTAGGAAAACGTCAAGGGGGACAGGACTTCACATGAGAAAAACTTTGATCAGTCGTTTAGCCACTGTGTCTACATGGTGGCGTCTTTAGTCTGATTAAGTGCAAATTAACGATAAGTTATCTTGACTAAACAAAACCTCAGAGCTTGATAATAAATCAGTCATGAGTTCTGATAACAGAACAATGTGTTGTGTCTGTTTTTTCTAAGCAGTGACATTGTTGCTTTTGCTGACAAATAGAAAGACAGGACTAGTTAAGAAGCAGACCAAAAAGAATTACATCAAACCTGCTTCATGCTTAGTAGAGCCACTTAACAAAGAAATATCCACCTTGAGTGGTAAATGAAAAACTTTTATTCTTCGACGACAACTCAGGCAAGTTTTTGTTTTCAGCTGTGCAATTGATTCATAAAAGTACTCAAGAGTGATTTTGTTTTTTGTAAATGTCCTCGTCTTTGTTTTTGCAGAAGAGGCGTTCGAATCGCCAGGTGAAGAGGAAGAAGTATGCTGAAGAGCTGGAGGCCAGGTTGTCAGACGAGGAAGTCAAGGTTATTGTCAAAGCCAAGAAATCCAACACTGCAGCATCCAAGGAACCTGCTGTTCAACTCTTTGTAGTAAGTAGATTTTACAAGAGATTCCTCGTAGCTGAGAAGTTGAAATGCTTCATTTAAAAAAAATAAATAAATAAATAAAATACTGTTCCAGAGTGCGTTTAAACTAAATTCAACTGATGATGAATCTTGCAAATATTTTGTTAACGGCGAAGGATTGTTTGTGGTATTGATGAATATTGTTGAAAAGGCCTCACACACAAATTGAAGAACATGAACGCATTCTGTGGAAGAACAACAGGACGACATGCTCTGAAGTGCAGAACAGCCTGTTCTTTTCACCATCACACTGTGAGGTACAAACCAGGACCCCTGCAGTAAGCCTGCACAAAGAGGAAAGATACATATTCAGAGCTCATTTTTAATGATTTAGACGCAATAGCGGAGAAATAAAGAAGGGAGTGTTCTCAAGACGCCGCTGCTCTAAAATATTTTTCTACAAATACTGTATATTGTGGAAGAAGTTCCACCCTACTTCCCATTGTCTAAATCTGTCAGCTGTCACTTTTATTTATGTTATCACAAATTTGCCGGAGGGATTTACAATCTGCACGGCGTTCGACAGCCTCTGGTGTGTGGCTTATGTGTCATGAAGACGCACAAACGGATTGAATATGAAGTAACAATTGACATTAAGTGTTTCGTGTCCACTGCATTTATAGGAGAATCCCACTGAAGAGGATGCTGCCATTGTTGACAAAATCATGTCTTCACGTATTGTTAAGAAAGAGGTAATTACTTACACTGTCAAATTTTTTTTTTACTAGTTTTCAGTGATTGTAAGAGTAATAAAAGTTAAAAGTTTACATTGCTTGCTAATAAGAATTATTTATTGACTCTGAGCATATTAAACTTATTTGTATTTTTTTTCTTTATCATAGAGCTAAATGAAAGGTTTGCTCCTAATTGTTATATTCTTCTGTTGCTTTAAACCCTTTTGCAGGTTTCTCCAGGAGTGGTGGTTGAAGTGGAGGAGTTTTTTGTAAAATACAAGAACTAGTAAGTTTATTCTTCAGTCGTACCTTCTGGGTGGTTAGTCGTATTTTTTTTTAAAGAACTTTGTAAAAATAAACGGTGCCTGTAGTCATTCCAAGTAAGTAAGTGTGTGATCTGTTTGTAGACACTGTTCCAGACACTGCTGTTGCACTAATCTTTCTAAATTATAACAGAAATTCTTAAAACTAAAATTAGACCGAAACAGAAAGCAGATGTCCTGAAGGCTTTGTAAAAATGAAGCCGAATAAGAACTTGTGCAATCACAAGCTTGTATGTTTGTGATTGCACAAGCATCGCAGACATCGTTGGGACAGCTTTCAGTATTGCGGTGTGTGTTTTCATCAAATTTTGCAACAGTCAATTAATTTTCCCACGTGAACTCTGGAATATTAATAAAACTTGGAGCTCATTTCCACAGCAAAGTATCCGTGCGTGAGTTTTTGGAATTCAGGATTTATGAGCCACACTCAGCCTCGCAGAGAAATAATTTATTTTCACATGACAGATAATCTGTCATCAGGCAGATCTCATTCTTACTTCTTAGCCAAATGTTGAAAAGGATGAAAATATGAATGTCACACGTGAAATTTTCTTAAAAAAAAAATATGACTGGAGAGATCAGTTCAAACAGCATGAGAGTGAAAGACTCTGTGACCACATCTGCAAACTGTGATCACACCTGCTGGCCACAGCAATTGCCCCACAGATGCTGTTTAGAAGGTGTTTTTCAGGGTTTCTCACCTTCGTCTGTTTGTGTGTGTGTGGTCATCAGCTCCTATCTACACTGTGAGTGGGCCACAGAGCAACAGCTGGAGAAGGACAAGAGGATTCAGCAGAAGATCAAACGCTTCAAGATGAAACAAGCACAGAGGGCACTCTTCTTCGCAGATGTAAGCCTGTGTGACTGCGTTTTGTGTCTGTGGACATGCTGAATACTGTCTGTGGAGACATTTTTTTTTTTTTGGGCATGGCTATGAGCAGGTGTGCGTTTGCATAATTTGTTGTCTTTTAGCACACATGTGCTAAGTGTTCATATATCCAACTATTGTGTGTGAATGTTCAATACACTTTTTGTGTTTGGTTTGTGTGGGCAGGCACATCTGTGTGCATATATTTGAATCTCTCTACTCACTCAGTTGATACAGTAGTGATGTTTATCTCAGATTCCAGATGGTGAATGTGCACTTAGGTTTATTCTCTCCTTTTCAATCTCTCCCTTTCTCTTTTGTCTTTCTTTCTGTCTCTTTCAGATGGAAGAGGACCCATTTAACCCTGACTATGTAGAGGTAGACAGAGTGCTGGAGGTGTCGTATTGTGAGGACAAAGACACTGGAGAGGTAAAGGGAATCCTCTTTCATTTGGTATTCATATACATGTGTAATAAGTGTGTTTGTGTCAGCATTGCTGAACATGTTTTACTCATTTTTTTCCCCTTTTTTTGTGGTTTTGCTCCTTTCAATATATTCTCCACTGTAGCGATGTCTTTGTATCTTAGAAATGCCCAAGGCCATCCTAATGGGCTGCCTTGCAGCCTTTGTTAATATTATAAAAGCAAAGCTTGGCCTCGCTCTAGTCTTTTCCAGTGCTGATTCTTCTCTGCCTGCTGCAGGAAGTGGTGTACTACCTGGTGAAGTGGTGCTCTCTGCCTTATGAGGACAGCACCTGGGAGCTGAAGGACGACGTAGATCAGAGCAAGATTGAAGAGTTTGAGCAGCTGCAGGCAGCCAAGCCAGACTCGCGCAGGATGGTAAGCCATGCCTACCAGCATTCTTCAGCTATCACTGTATTTCCTTATTTTTCTATCACTCTCATGCTGTGTATATGTGTTTGTTTTCTTTTGTTGACGGTATTTTGAAGTGCTAATAAGGGCATTCTCCTGTTTTCAAAAACGTAGTGGAATCTTTGGTAAATAAGTGTTTACACAGCATCTGCAAACATGTACTGTATGGTGAATTTAATTGGCATCATCAGCCAAACATTAAACTCATCTAAGAAAGTCCACATTCGCACAGTAAAGCGAACAAACTTAAAAGACAAACACCTGCCGTCAGTCACTGCAAGATCAGTAAATAGTGGTTATATTGGAAAGGTAAAAATACAACTATGTTTTAATCAGAGGATTTTTCTAAGTGACGACTAGGAAGATCTAGTAAACAGACTGTAAAAGGTAAAATTTAGAAAGGAAGAAATAAACAAAATCAAAGCGAGAACAGTGTTTTTCAGCTTAACTTACAGGTTCTCGTGCACTGAACTTCAAGCATTATTGTATTTATAGTATAATATGGTAGCCAGACTGCACAAGATCAGTCATGCAAGTTGTACTAAGTTAACTGTAAACTAAGACTTGCTAAAAATGGTCTCTTTCCTCTTGCCATTTTCACTTCCTTGTCCAGCTCAGTAGATCATACTTGGGTCACTCTTTATAGCACCTTTATACCCAATAAAGAGCTGAATACATTTAAGTGCTTACAGTCATTCACCTACGACTGTATATGACAGGAAATGTCCCAGACAATATATAGACAGATTTTCAAACATCACATGGTTTTCATGCCGTCCTGCGTCCTGGTGTGGCATCGGTGGCTCGCTGGGTTTGGTGCCTTTGTTCTGCTTTTAATCATTCCTATTTCTTCTGAGCTCCACTCCATGTATCTAAACTTTGCTTTTTTTTTTACCTGTCATGCCTTTAAAACTATTTTCACTCCTTCATCTCCATCACTTTTCCTGCCTCATCCCTCATCCCTGTCCTTCTGTATCGACTATATCGTATATGTAAATCCAGTAGAAATCTGTTCATTCAAAATGCTGGTGTGCAGTTAAATTCCAAACCGCCATCAACACTTACCCCTTAAAATCTGTCACCTAGGAGCGGCCTCCAGCTAATCTGTGGAAGAAGAGGGAACAGTCGAGGGAATACAGGAATGGCAACAGCCTCAGGGACTACCAGCTGGAGGGGGTCAACTGGCTCCTGTTCAACTGGTACAACAGGTCAGTTTTAACTACTATGTATGAAGACCTGTCCAGACCTGATGCTCACTTACACTAAAACAACTTAGTACTAACAACTAACTCAGCATCTGCAACCCTGATCTTAATCAGGACGTGTAGGTGTGACACCGCAGCAGTGATAAGAAGTGACGCGCTCTTTGGCCGTTCTAAACTGTAAAAAAAAAAAATGCACAAGTCGTTTCATAGCTGATAGTAAGTTAGTAATGAAAGCGAAACCCTGTGAAGAAAAATCTGGAGCTTAATATAAGAACTCATGCACAGTATCTCAAGTTGCAAAGAACTTCAAAAACATTTTAGTCATGAGACAGAAGCACACATATCACACAATATGTACAACTCTGTGTAACTCCAGTGCAGGGGGTATTGACAGTCGGATGTCTTGCCTCTTCGGACCGCGCTGGTCTGCAAATTTGATACCGATGTCCTGTAAACATTGATTAACCGTTCATGATTTCAGTAGGTTAAGCGAAACATTGAACTTGTATTATAAAATTAATAAAACGACACTGCTTTTTAATTCAAATGGAATCAAATTACAACTGGAATCGATGCAAGCTGAATATAAAGGTGAATAAGTTAATGCACATTGAGTTGCTAATACACCAAGCTAAAATTGAATGGGGAAAAAAGAAGAATCAAATACAACAGTCCTGCGATACTTTGGAGGACAGAGTTTGTGTTGCTGTTAAACTGTGTTGCTGGGGAAAAAAAAGAGGTGTTGCTCTTATTTTGGCCCCGTTTCTATCAATAAAGATAGCCTAAAGAACGAAACTATCTGTCAGTGCAGAATACTACAGTATATTTATTGATTGGTTGCACATTGACATTTTGTATTTCAAGAAAAAAAATCTTATGGGTGTATTGGGACTGTAGATAATGAATAATGAATGCCTTTTCCTGTTTTGTATCCTGTGTGTGGACCATGCTGCGATTTGGCTGTATTCACATTATTTGGTAGGGCCTGTGAGCGGAGTCAAATTTCCTGTCAAGGTGCACGCTGCTGCAACAACAATTGCTTTTCTTCGCCCACGATCACAAAAGAAGCGCTGCGCTGTACATCTGGAGTACACGGTGTCAGTGCGCTTGCATTAACCCTGGGAATTGGTTTTGTTATGTGTGAGCATGCAAGAGTTTGTGTATGCCTACGCAGAGAGATTCATCAAAAGTAGAGAGCTGCTTAAGAGGCCAGTGGGAATATCTGCACGTTGCAATTAGCATCAAGACATAATACCCCCACCCACTGGACAGCTGAATAAATGGTTTGCCGGAGTACACCACGCAGCAGAGGCAGTCGTATTTGCTATTATGTTGTATCTCATATCTACGGTCTGTTATTACTGCTGATGATGTCGTTTTCTCCTCCGTTGTTTGCTGTTTATTTTTTTATTACCATGGGAGTGTTGCATTTTCCTTGTGTCACTCCCTTTCCTTTTTTCCTGTTCCTCAGGTTTTTTTTGTGTGTACCAATTTAAGAATACATACAACAAAAAAAATATAATAATCACACGATAAATGCACACCACTTTGTCTTAGTAGTATGGAGGCATAATGCCTCAGGCGGCAGCCTAGTAAGACTGTAAACATCCACAACCCCCACACATCCACTTACACTGTACACATCAGAGATACAATATTTAGTTTTACACACGCATCCATGATTCGCAAGTGGTTCATCACCTTTTTTTTTTTTTTTACTCTTGCCTTTGCTTTCTTTTTATTCTATCACACTTGTTCTTTTCTAACCTTTGCTACCTTCCACTTGTCAGACGTAACTGCATCCTGGCCGATGAGATGGGACTGGGAAAGACCATCCAGTCCATCACATTCCTCGAAGAGATCTATCGCGTAGGCATTAAGGCGCCCTTTCTCATCATTGCCCCGCTCTCCACCATTGCCAACTGGGAGCGTGAGTTTCGTACTTGGACCCACCTCAATGTCATCGTCTACCACGGAAGCATGGTCAGCAGGCAGATGCTTCAGCAGTATGAGATGTATTTCAGGGATGCACAGGTAAATGGGCACTGATCTTTGTGGTCTATCTTTACACATGCAACATTTATGGAGATGGGGATACGTAGAGTAAACCTACGCAAGAGAATGATTCAATATTTATCAATTTATAAAGTGTATTAAATCAGGCACTTCGAGTACAACAGAGTGTTGTGCGAACTGGGTGTTAAGAGCATTTAGTGGAATTAGTACTTGGGTTCTGTATCACTAAAACCACAATATTGTACACGCCACTCTTGGTGTTTTCCTTTAAAAAAAACAAACAACTGTAGAAATCTTTCAAAAGTATACGTCATGCCCGTTTCTTGCCTGTTAAGTTTTGTTATTCCATCATGTAGTCTGAAAAATGTCAATATTTTCCATTAAGTGTGCAAGGGTGCTACGATTGGTGCCCTTCCAAATGCACTTTTCATTATGGGGTATATATTTCTTGTCAAATACAAACCTTAGTTTCCTAAAATGTAGGTATGACAGTGTCGCTATTACGTGCTTTAAGAAAGAACTCAGCTTTCCCCCTGGTGGTGCTTCTGTGTTTTGTCACCACAGTCGCTGTTTATGCCTGAGAAAAAGCCTCGAGGAGCTGGGCAAGAGTCAGTTGTATATACACGAGGGGGCATCCAGCTTGTCTCACTTATCTAACACAAAGGGAATAATGGGGATTGAGAGGCCTTTTAGTTATTTCTGACACACCTAATCTTTCCTTTTTAAGGACAGGCAAGCGCAAAGAAATACTGCTGTGCTTACCTTTAGAGTGGAAAGCAATGATTCACTTCTATTAAAATAATCACAGTGCTTTTCAGAAAACAGCAGCACTGTGTCAGCAACATGAAATTCTGTGAGTAATGTAATGATATGTTTCAAAATAGGATGCCTGCTTACAACAATGGGAGTCGGATATTGAAAAGCCACGCAGTTTGCCATTACCACGTGTAGCAGAGAGCCCAGATACACTGTACAGTTGTGTAGTACTGCAGCAAACTCACCTTGCAGAATCTTTCAGAAGAAAAAACCTTGTATCTGTAGAAAGAGGGAAAACAGGCAGCTCAGCAGAAGTTGTCTGTAAAAAAAAAAGGTTTTATTCAGATATGTGTGCGAAAGAATCTGTAGAAATTGTTGCATTTTTGGCTGATTTACTTTCATAGTTGGGTTAAAAAATAGTGTAATATCAGCAAATCATTCTTCAGAATCTATATGCATGTATTACTTAGTGCTAAAGCTGAAGAAAAATCATCAGATATTAAGATCAAATTTAACTGTTTATGTAGCCAGAGTTTGTTCGCCGGGTTGAGAGTTGAAAAGCTTTAATGAATCCCTGAGTTAGAATACTATCATGCTCTATAATAATAATTAAAGACGGGCCCGTGTCTGACAATAAGTAGGCTGTGAGGTAGTTAGTGAGCCTTGGGCAGAGGCTTTCTGTGGCTGGCAGGCCATGTGATGTGTCACAGCAGGCAGTTAGGAGCTCTTAGTATTCAGAAGAACCGTAGGAGGAATTAAGGCGAGCGCGAGCAGAGCAGAGTGGAGCCGCCACCAGGCTGTCTCCCAGGCAGCCTGTGATGTCATAGCAGCCCCCAAGGGGAGCTCTCTGTCAACGCTGCTCAGGCATATCAGAGAGAGTGGCTCCTCTACAGCAGACTGCTGGCTGGCTGTGGGAGGGGGTTACTGGATAACTGAGTATCCCTCGAGGACTGTTGTCAAGGCAATGGATACAAATGGAGAGGCGGGGTAAAGCAAAGCCTCCCCAGACAGACAAACAAGAAAACAAATAAACAAACAGCGTACAGACTCACTAGCGGGTGCTCGTGTACTGGTAGAGCTGCAGACAGCTTCCTGAAAAATAGGTGTGTCTTTTGGTTGTCTGGGAGACTTAAATAAAGGGCGCCATGTACTGGCTGTTGACAGCAAAAGGCCAAAAATATTTATGTTTGTAGTGTTAACAGGAAAAATGAGCAGCTCCAACTGAAAAACTACAAACCTGAAATCTTTATGGCAAATTTTTTTCCATAGATTTTAAAGTTCAACTATTACATAATCATTATACTCTCAGTATGCATGCTGTGTAATTAAAATTAATAAAACGTGATATTTCTTACAACTAAAAGCAAAATAAATGCTTCCACATACATACAGCGCCTCCACCTGTAAACCAGAGACCATGTCTTGTGCATAATATCAATGTCATCTCTGAAATGTCTCCTCTTTTTTTGTCTTAAGGGTCGTGCGATACGAGGTGCCTACAGGTTCCAGGCTGTTATCACCACATTTGAGATGATCCTGGGAGGTTGCCCCGAACTCAACGCCATAGAGTGGCGCTGCGTTATCATCGATGAGGCCCATCGACTCAAGAACAAGAACTGCAAGCTGCTAGAGGGGTTCAAACTCATGAGCCTGGTACGTAAACTATCAGTTTATAGAGAGAATTACACATGTTTCAAGCAGCCTTAGATTAAAACTTAATTTGACCTATTTTGATTGTATATTTGAACTCTTGTCCCCTTCAAGGAGCACAAAGTCCTGCTGACGGGTACTCCTCTCCAGAACACAGTGGAGGAGCTGTTCAGCCTGCTCCACTTCCTGGAACCGGCACGCTTCCCCTCCGAAAACACCTTCATGCAGGAGTTTGGAGACCTCAAGACTGAGGAGCAGGTGAGCCCACAGATATCAGCAGATTGTGTCTTAGTGAACATACAATACCAATAAACACACCGTTTTATTGCATGTCACAAGATCCGGTCAGACAGCGTAGTTTAGACTTTTGGTTCTACACTCTGCACTTTCACCACAAATGTTAAAAGAAAATCATTTTTTAATGTTGCTGAGCTGTATGAAAGGACAGCCAAAGTGACACTTTACACTGATGCTCAGATATAAAGGTTCTGTTGATACAGGTGGAACTGCTAAAGTGGGGCTTTTTCTAACTGGACCACAGTGATATTCTGAACAACACAGATACATGGTGGATAATGATAACAGGTAATGGGGTATTAGGCTACTTATTGTTGGACTGTGCATTGGCACAATTGCTCACATTAAAACGGCTGCTTTCACATCTCCTTCTACATATTGCTGTTTTGCATTTCCTTTATAGCCAGCAGCACTAAAGAGATGCTCAGAGAAAAGACCATTAAAGACCATTAAAACATGATGGAAGTGTGAGGTTGAAAGTTAAAATATCTGGAAGAGCCAGCACTCATCACGTGGTGCTAAATCTAGCAGCCACTGGAAAATCGTAATCCTTTTCATAGTAAAAGTTGCTGGTGCTGTTATGAGACACATTTTCAGCTCACACCACAATTGATGTGAGACGAGGCCCCGTGCAGCATGTGTAATCAACAAAAAGAACGCTGCTTGTGCAAAGCCAGCCCAGTCCTTGGGGTGTAGTAGTAACTAAGCTGGGATGCTGTACTGTAGCAGAAACCTGTGATTTGGGAAATGTGGTTTTGCGCTACATATTCATGTTCAACCAGCTATATATAGCATAAACAATGCGACAATGCCTTTGATATAAAATACTGTACAGACATTCAGTTTAATCTTCAGCGACTCCGCTTTCAGAGCGACATCGAGTGATAGTATGTGTTGCTATGGATTTGCTTCACCGCAAAATATCATTACCGGAGCAATCCGAATGGTGTCCCACTGTGACATTTCTTTACAGAAGCTGTGAATGAAATTGTTTAAAGGCGACTCCTGATGAGTTAACCATACCCCTTTAGCATAGTCATTATTTACATAATATATATGATCTGCTTGTGGTTCTTTGCACCTACATCGCCCATTACAGTTGTGAAACACACATTTCCACATGTGATGGTACAAATTGTCTCTGAGTTGGAACAGAAACTGAATTGCTGTTGTTGTAATTCTTGAATAAGGTTATCAAATATGATGAATAAATCTCAACTCGGTAGTGGAAAACTGATACCGAACAATGTAGTGGCACGGTGAGACTGTTTGTTATAACACATTGCAACTCTGCCCTGCTCCTGCCCACGAGCAGCATTTGTAATCCAATGCGAGTGTAGTGTGCAAGCAGCCGCTGAATGTCTTAACAATAATTGTCTTTGTGGCTCACAGGTACAGAAGCTTCAGGGTATCCTGAAGCCCATGATGCTGCGTCGTTTGAAGGAGGATGTGGAGAAGAAGTTGGCTCCTAAAGAAGAAACCATCATTGAGGTTGAGCTCACCAACATTCAGAAGAAGTACTATCGCGCCATCCTAGAGAAGAATTTCTCTTTCCTGGCTAAAGGAGCTGGCCAAGCAAATATGCCCAATCTGGTTAACACCATGATGGAGCTGAGAAAGTGCTGCAACCATCCCTACCTCATCAAAGGTATGACGGCACTGAAAACCTCACAGTTTGGGAAAATGTAAATAGATTTGTAATTTGTATAGTCAAGGCAAAGCAGCAAAAGGTCTGCAATTCCAGAGTTTCTTTTTTAGTCTTCCAGAGGTGTTATTGGTTCTGTTGAGCAGTTCACTGTAATTTGCTAACTCAGGGACATCAAACTGTGCATATTGCCCAGAGAAATCCATCAGAATCTCAAGAGATTTTGTATATATTTGCATTTTTGTGCTGAGTAGTGTTTTGCCTCTTTATTGAACCAGTGTCAGCAGTACCAAATCTGCAGCACCCTATTTTTTTTTAAAGCATATGCTCTGTAATTATGCCTCATATTTTGTATGTTGCACAGGCACCTTAAAGGTTAACAACACAGATGTGCTCCTAAATGTATTTCTCATGAAGAAAATTGATCTTTAATAATGGACAGTGGACAAATCATACAATCTTCCAATCTAGAAAAAAAAAAAAATCTGCCTTGTGAAGCCCGGGATTGCTGATGTGTCCATGTCTTTGCTACGTTAGGGGCAGAAGAGAAGATCCTTGAGGACTTCAGGGAAGTGCACAGCCCCACTGCCATTGACTTTCACCTGCAGGCTATGGTACAGTCTGCTGGGAAACTGGTCCTTATTGACAAATTGCTGCCTAAGATGAAGGCAGGAGGGCATAAAGTGCTCATCTTCTCCCAGATGGTGCGCTGTCTGGACATCTTGGAAGACTACCTCATTCAGAGAAGGTAAGCTGGTCCAACTATTCAAACTACAACAGACACAGTGCTGCTGCTCAGAAATGTAAAATCACTCTGATTCTCTGGCTGTATCCTGTCAAATCTTTTGCACAGGACTTTAGTTTAGAACAGTGGCTGCATTGCTGAAAATCATCTGACTCATGGTCAGGAACAAGACACCCCAGTTTCTATAGTATTGTCTTTTAGCTTGCAACACATAACAGCCGCTGGCCAGTGAGAGCAGCTGGCAGCAACATTCACAAGTAGAGATGTAGAGCCTGGTGTTTCATCACAACAAATGAGTCAAAACAACACATTTACATCCATCCATCCATTTTCTGCATTTGTTTTTTTCCTGTTCTGTGTCGAAAGGGGCTGGAAAGACAGTGCTTAACAAATTTACTAGACCACCACCCAATGTCAGGTTTATGCCACAGCTAAATCAGCAGCATTGGTAATCATTTTGTAATGTTTCTGTATTGGTTAATGCACCAGTATGTAGAAGCTCTTTAACTGAAATGGTATTTTTAATGCTAAAATATAATTATTATTGTTATCCATGAAATTTCAAATTCATTGTTTTACAAAAAAAATAAATAAATGAAAAAAATAGTAAAACACATTGTTATTTTTTGATTAACACGTCAAATAGCGAGAAACTATTTGGAACTGAACAACAAAAGAAACTGTCGAAAAGTACATAAAAACAATGCCAGCAGGAACGCAAGCTGTTATCAAGGCCAAAGGGAGCCACGCAAAATATTCCGTTTTCTTGGTTATTATGTGTGAAAAAGGACTATTTAGTTGTTTCAGTTTGTTATTTGCCAAACAAATGACAATAACATTTTTAAACACGTTATAAGAAGATTTCTAAAATATTTGTGTTTTCAGGTTTTTAATGACAGGTGGTCTCATAAATCTGTCAAGCTCTGTATACCAGCATGCACTAGACAATACGTAGCGTACACACATAAAACATACATACAGTGTACAGGCGAGCGTTTTAATACCCCGCCTCATGCCTGTGAGACATTTAAAGTGTCCACTTCACTGTAACCTTTGGGCTCCAATTGGCATTTTATGTCCAAACAGATCTCACCATGCCGAACCATTTTAACAAAATATTTTAAAAAAAGAGTCCTTTCATACCATTTTTCAGATGACGACTTGCTATTTTAATCTTTTCTCCAGCACTCTAACTCGATAAGATCTGAGCTCCACCACATGGCTTCAGGTTTGAAGTTCAAAGAACAGCTTTTTCACTCACCAAAAATAACCCATGGGATTTTAGACTTTTTAAAAAATTCTTTTTTAAAACAGAATTAGCCTTTTTTCCTCTTTGTGTCCTGTTCCCCCGCCCACAGAGCACAAGAGCAGCTGATAGGAATGACTGAAAATGATTTGGACTTACATCATAGCCGTAATGCCGCTGTGTACAAACCGAGTCCCAGCTGAGCTACAACACTGCTTTGAGAACTAAAGTATTACGAGCTCTCATCTTGGTTCCCTCTGTGTGTGTCCGGTTCTGTCTCTGTCAGCGGTGTCTTGGGTGAAGCTCAAAAGTCCCATAAAAAGCTATAACTGAGTCAGGGAATCAAGAACATTCAACCAGGCGATCATGGGGAGAGCTTTTCAAGAAGGAATTAGGTTTAGAATTTAATGACATTTAGGAATTTACTAATTACGGATAAGAGTTTGGGTCTCGCTTTCTTATTCTCTTAAGTCTTATTCCTCTGTCTTCTCCACTTCACATTCCTTACTTTGTGGTCTTTCTCTATATCCTTTTATTTTTCTCATGCCTCTGTCTCATCCTTTTTTTTTCTCTCTCTTTCTTCTGGCTTCCCACAAGAAGCTGGAGCAAACCCGAAACCATTGTAAACATGTGAGGTGCTGCGCAGCACAGACCTCAGACAGGGTTCAGCAGCAGGTTACAGAAGCCCTCAGGGCTCCACCGCATTAGACAAGCGGGAGCTTCTGTGAGGTTTCTCTTGAGTGGAAGTGGATTACACCAGGGAGGGCAGAGGGTCAGATTGTGGGAGGGGATGAGAATGGACACATGGACGAAAGAGCAGAACTACTCCTTGTAGAAACAGCTTTATCTTGGAGAATACTGTTTTTCAGGTGTAGAAAGGAAGGAAAACAAAAGAATAGCTTCGGTTCAGTGAAGTTAAGATGTTTATTAAAATCCATCCATTATCTATACACTGCTTAATCTTCATTAGGGTGGCGGGGGGGCTGGAGTCTATCCCAGCCGACTTAGGGCGAAGGCAGGGGACACCCTGGACAGGTCGCCAGTCTATCACAGGATTTTATTAAAATCATATTAAATTTAAACATCACTGACACATGAGATGTTTCAAGGGTAAATAAGCTTATACCTAAAACTCAAGTAAAGCATCTCAGATTAACTTGTAACACTTAATGAGTTATTGTGATATACATGCATCATGGTTCATTCGTTTATGTTGCAGGTACTTGTATGAGCGGATTGACGGACGTGTTCGTGGGAATCTGCGACAGGCTGCTATCGACCGCTTCAGTAAGCCCGACTCAGACCGCTTTGTATTCCTGCTGTGTACAAGAGCTGGTGGCCTTGGGATCAACCTCACCGCAGCAGACACCTGCATCATCTTTGACTCTGACTGGAACCCACAGAACGACCTGCAGGTTGGACTCAGAGACCCACTCAGCAGTACATGGCACATACGGCTGCAGACTTGTACCGATAATGTTTAGGCATTAGAGAAATTTGGCATACCAGGAGTTATTTCTTGTTTGACATCTGTTCATATGAATGTCTGCCAACAAGACTCGTCACCTTGAACCATGCTTTTACTCTGTGTCCAGCAATGAATACAACTGCAAAGCATCATCCGGTATTTTAAGCTTCCTGTTCGTCTGTAGAATCTAATTTTGACCAGTCATTTAAGATCAGGGGTCATTCAAGTCAAAGTGTAGATATTTAAACAGATGCTCCTGTGTAGTGCACATTTCTCAGTTTTTCTCTACTTCACAGGCCCAGGCTCGCTGCCATCGAATCGGTCAGAACAAGGCAGTGAAGGTGTACCGTCTGATCACCAGGAACTCATACGAGCGAGAAATGTTCGATCGCGCCAGCCTCAAGCTGGGCCTGGACAAAGCAGTGTTGCAGAGCATGAGTGGCCGAGATAACAGCCTGGGAGGAGGCACCGGGGGAGGGGTAGGTTTGAGAATTGTCCAAATTGTCTGGAATTGAAATGGGAAATTAAATCATTTAGTCACGTAAATTATGTTCAGGAAATTTTCAAAGATAGGGCTTGTGATAATTACCATCCGTTTCACCGGTTGGTCTTGGATAGATTTAATTATTTCAGCTGTCCCAGCATCAAAATACCACACAAAGAAGCTTTTAAGTTTTATTTTTACTGTAAAAAACTTGATGCTGATTTAAATCCTTTTCACTGTCCATGTTTTCTTCTTGATGTACCCCAGCGTGACCATTAAATCATTTCTAGATCTCTATCCAACCTCTTCTCCAGCTTCTCAGTTTAGCATCATATTGAAAATAGATTAAGTCTGAAAAACTGGAACTAAAAGTACTGATAAGATAAGCACATGAACCCTCTACTACTCTCTAGCTCTCCTGTTAATAAGCAATGTTACTAAAAGACAAAAAAAAGTGTGTTTTATTTCTCCAAATTGTATTTCCAATACGATAAATGTTAACAGTGATATCCCGAGTACTGAAATACATTATAGGAACACTGTAACAGATGGTGAACAACACTAAGATGCCAAGCCAAGAAAAACAACCCTAAAACGTGAAGGTCACTCTTAAAATTTCCACTTGAAGTGTAACCAATCCTATTAGAGTCTAATCTGTTTGTGAGGGAGTGTGTCAACAGTGTGTGAAGTGTGTTGGTGGATGTTGAGCTGCAGTTTGTGTCCTCAGAGAATTATCTAACTATAAGGAGGTTGACGTATTAGCAGTTTTCCACATCTGGTCTGACGGAACATATTTGCATACCAAACAGCTGCTAGGGTTAGATACAGGGCTGCTGATGTTATGATTTTAATAATCCAATGTGTGTGTGTGTGTGTGTGTGTTTGTCTGTGTGCATTTAAAAGGCTATTTCTGTTAGCGCTGTAAAGTTTTGTAGGTGTTTGTTTGTGTCGTGCAATATGTAGTGTTATGTTTGCTACTGTTCCATTTTGCACCAGAAGTCCATTTCATAATCTGTTGGCCAATATCATTTATTTTTTAATGTTGGATCGTTTCTTGACTTTAATGGGATGTTTCTCTTTACCTCTCAGGCTGTACAGCAGCAGCTGTCCAAGAAGGAGATCGAGGATCTGTTGAGACGTGGCGCATATGGGGCCATCATGGATGAAGAGGATGAGGGTGCCAAATTCTGTGAGGAGGACATCGACCAAATCCTTCAGCGCAGGACAAAGACCATCACCATCGAGTCTGAGGGACGGGGATCTACTTTTGCTAAGGTGAGTAAAATAGACAAATACATGTAGTTGTACTCAGTCCTCACAATAGATCTGCATTTTACTTGTCAGCGACTGTCTTGGATTGTTGACTAACACCAGCTCATGGAACAGGCATGCGGGGAATGCCAAATGTGATTATGACTTGATACGATTCTGATGTCTGTCTACAGGCCAGTTTTGTAGCATCTGGAAATCGCACAGACATTTCTCTGGATGACCCTAATTTCTGGGACAAGTGGGCCAAAAAGGCTGACATTGATATGGATATGGTCAATGGCAGAGTAAGTACTGCACTGCAGTGAATAAATGAACAGACACCATAAGCATGCATAGACCCAGAAAGTCGTTGAAGTTCCCTAAAGTCCCTTACAATGTTTGTCCTTCTTCTCCTCCCTCCTACAGAACAGCCTGGTGATAGACACTCCTCGTGTCAGAAAGCAAACGAGGCCGTTCAGTGCCACCAAGGATGAGCTCGCGGAGCTTTCGGAGGGTGAAAGTGACAACGATGAATCCAAACCTAAGCTCAGGCGAAACCATGATCGCCTCAACAGCTACGGCCGAACGGAGTGCTTCAGAGTCGAGAAGAACTTGCTTGTATATGGGTACGATAAATGTAATAGGTTTAGCCTAATACCAGTCTTTGAGTAATATAGTTGGTACTCAACAGAAAACCATCTACAAAATGAAGATTAGGATACATTGAAAAAATATTTGTTGTCTTTTTTCGTTACATTTCAATATCTCTCATTGAATATGTCCAATTACACACAAATAGACAAGGCTATCTAGATTGTAATGACAGCAGTATACCTGTTGTGTTTCACATTAAAATAAGCCTTTAAAGTATATACAGATTCTGCTTTAAATCTCAGCCCACTGTTTCTTCATTTGGCCTTTCCCTTTTGTTTTCTAGATGGGGTCGTTGGAAGGATATTCTCAACCATGGCCGCTTTAAGAAGCAGTTGACTGAGTGGGATGTAGAGTCCATCTGCAGAGCCCTGCTGTCATACTGCCTGGTCCATTACCGTGGAGATGATAAAATCAAGAGCTTCATGTGGGACCTCATCGCCCCGACTGAGGACGGACGCACAAAGGAGCTGCAGAATCACCTGGGTGAGTTTCGGGAAGTCATGGCTACACTGACTGACCTTAACACAACAGGTAGTGGCACACAGAGAAATAATCACATTTCCCGTGCAGCATCATTGACTTTTATCTTTTCCTTCTTTTTTCACTAGGCTTGTCTGCCCCAGTGCCTCGGGGCAGAAAGGGTAAGAAGATGAAAACCCAGTCGAGCTCTTTCGACATCCACAAGGCCGAGTGGCTTAGGAAGCACAACCCAGAGCACATGCTTCAGGACGACGGCTACAAAAAGCACCTGAAACACCACTGCAACAAGTAGGTGTTTCCTTATTCCACTTTATATTGTTCATATTGTACTCCCTGTGCAATTCTACATGCTGAAAAATTTAGCTGATACTTTGGGTTTGCATCATATAAGACAGTTAGATTATGTTCCTCGTAACCACTATACAGGGAATTGATATTCCTAAGTGTCTAAAGCAGCGTTATTTAATGAAAGAGAATTGTAATGTTTTATATTACTTGCTTAAAGTGCACACAGTGACTGTCAATTCTATCTTTTATGGGTGACAATGTGTGTGTACTTGTGTCTGTGTTTAAACCTTTGTGCTACGATAGCAACTGGCAGGTGGTCATTATTCTCTTCTAACAGAGATTGTCTCCATTTATTTTTAATAGAGTGAAGCCTAAGTGTATTGAAAATACAGTTTGCACGTGGCTCAAATGGTAACTGTGGCACTGCCAAGCCACAGTAATTAGGAAGCACTAAAACGTCTATTGGAGCTGACAGTGTACTGATTGATTAACGGACATGCATCATATCGAGGCTAGCTGACTGATAGGAATCTTAGAGTTTCGCCCAGCTAATGGCCATCGTAGATCTCTCTTATTTACAGACAGACAGACAGACAGACAGGGAAACATTGCTGCTATCCAAACACGGGGCGTTGAGATATAAAGCCAAAATGATGGCTGCTTCTTTTTAAAAGGGGGGCTTGTGTCTGTTGCGCTTTGGATGCAGAGCACTGCAGCTTCCATAGAAAGTTCTCCATTGTTTCCTTGTCCAGTAGTGCTGAATCCAGGGATTGTCTGATATGTGACACGCCGGGCAATTGGGGACATGCAGTCAGCAGGGTTTGCTGACTTCTGCGTTTTCACTGCGAGGACCTGGAATGTGACTAGTGGGGGGGGGTGTTCACTGGCTTCCTTAACAGGGCGATAAATGTAGGACACAGCTCCTGCACAGCAATGGAAACTATAGGAAGTAGAAGTAAATGATTCTGAGGGTTACCAAAAAAGTCTTGAAATATCTGACAGGTCAGAGAATTGGATCATAATGGATCCTCACAATGTGAATACTTTCATTCTTTACTAAGCAAATATCAGCAGATTCTTGACTACAAACTCTAGTAAAGAAGTGTCCCTGTGAATATTCTGTCTACTTAGGCATACAGGATGCAGTTTTGAGAAAGCACATAAACATTTCATGGTATTTGTGTGTTTTGAATCAGGCTAACGTCTGTGAGGCTGAGCCAGTATCTCCCTGTTGCACTGGTTTTTTGATAGTGTTTTCTGTGAGCAGACCACGAGGGATTTTTTGCATGCCACTCATGTCAGGCATACTTGGTTTATTTGCTTCTGAAAGACTGCGTACGACTGTGCTGAGATCCTCTGCAGCTTCTCTGAGTGAACCACATCCCTCACATACACACACACACTGACTAACAAAGGCTTGGAAAGGGGGTGATGAAGGGCTGTGCTGACAGGCAGAGGAAGCAGCAGCTGCTCCTGGGCGGGTCCAGTCACACAGGAGGATGGAGGGTGGAGGAGGGAGAGGGAGGAAGTTCAACTCTGATTTAACAGAGCTACAAGTCCAGACTGGTCACGACACACATCCATCACTCCGGCAGACAGGCAGACCTTGGAGCCCTGCAGTTGTTCTTAGTCCTGTCAGTGAATCAAGAAGAGATTTTGGGCTCATTTATAACAATATTTAGCTGAGTTAAAGCAGAAGAAGGATGGAATGCCTGGCATGCTATATTTCAGAACCGAAATCCACAGTTCTTGCAGTGCTCTCGAAAGGAGAGCTGCAGAGAAGCCCTGGCATGAGAGGCCACAGATTTACACCATGAGGGATAAACATGAGTATTAGTGATCATCGTTTTATTATTAAGTGTCTGCGATCCCAAGAAGCAGACAGTGTAGCCGTTTATCTTGACAGGGAATTGTGCGGGTTTGTGTTCTTCTTGTTCCCATGTATGGAACTTTGAGATGAGTCTAAGGCTAATCGTCAGAATGGTAAATGTGTAAAAGGCACTTGGCAGATGTATCATTTGGCACCTCATTCACACAGATATGTTTTCACACAATGGGGTTTAAGTGGTGTCATTCAGAAAAAGTTGGTTGTGTCAGTGTTTGTTCCCCAAATTTGCCAGATCGAGGTGTGGCCGTTCTGTGTCAACTAATTGTAGTCCAGCTGCTAACTTCTGCAATACTCCATTGAGAATTTTGAATCCCAAATCCTTGGAACCCCAGCACTGCATTTTTCCAGCAAACATCATGATGTCAGTTCCCACCACTTCGCTGTGTCTCCGCTCAAAGGCTGCTGCCTGTGATGTGCGATCATGCATCACAGAGTTAATGTCTCCCCTGTGAGTCAGCCTCTCTCTACCTTGTCAGCCTCGACTTCCCAGCCTTCATCTGCTGCCAGAATACAACCACATGACAACTAGAAAGAGACGCTTGTCTGTTCTTTCAGTCCTCGGAGCCGAGTCGTGGAGCTGCTCGTGACTCCCTGTGAGGTCTATACAGTAATGTCAAGTTAAATGATACAGTATTTCACGGTTAATTGATCAGACTTGGTGTGTATGCTGGTCTATGGCCAGTTGTACAATGTGTCCTGCTCTGTGGGACGCCTGACCAGCTAGTGATTTATCGCTGTGTTCTGCTCATAGCTCAGATAAAAATCCTACAAATCAGGAAGGAATTCAGTCATGTTTAACGTGACGTTAAGTGCATGGCAGCGAAAATGATACGACTGTGACCACATAGTCCAGTCTTGAGATTCCTGCTTAACATTTCCCTCATTTGAATTGTGTTCAACAGGTTACTGTGTGTGTGTGTGTGTCTGTGTGTGTGTGTGTTGGTTCTGCTTGCTCAGCGTTTGTGCGTGGTCGGGGCTTTATTGTGACCAGTGGCTTTTCTCTGTGCAGGGTGCTGCTCAGGGTCAGAATGCTCTACTACCTGAAACAAGAGGTGATAGGAAGCCAGGCCCAGACGGTGCTAGATGGCATCGACTCCAGGTGAGCTCAACTTTGACCTCCTCTGACATTACGTTAGGATTCCTGCACTGACAGTTCAAACCATCTCTTCCTGAGGCTGAGATTTTCTACAACTTTCAGCCCCTTGAAACACAGTTACCTACCTAATTTAACAAACGCAGTACATTTCCTAGAACACGGCTTTTCTAGTTATACTTAAAAGTGTAGGCGGCACTTAACCTTCTACACAGTATGGTTTGTTGGATTCTACAGTAGTTGCAGTCGCACAAAGTCAGATGCATCAGTCAGCTTTACTACAACGGCACTGACCTGAGCAGAGATGTTTAATGACAACAGCTGAGTCTCCATTTCGAGGTGAAATAGCCGCCTCATGGGTTTTTTTTTCTCCTTGAGTGGCGAGCGTGTTCATTAGTGTGTGGTATCAACCTGTTGAAGGAAGAAACAGATGATCAGCCAAATTCATAAGAAGGTTATAGAGCGCCACCTGCTGGTGAAAGATGAGATTTAAAAACATTTTTTATTGTACAACGCTTGAACGTGGTTAATCAAAACCACAGTTAACGAGTAGATCACATTTAAGATAAATGAGGCTGAATATTGTGTCACAGTTGTCTTTGTTGCTTCACCATAAAAGTCCTCCTAAGTGTTTGTATTAAGAGCACATTTACACAGTGAAACAAGGAGGTGCTTTTAATTATTACAAATTTTATTTTGCTAATTAGGATATTAGAGAGATCAGCAAGCAAAATAAAATCTAGAAACATCCCTCCCTCTAATATCTTACTAACTTTACTTTTCCTCTACAGTGAGATAAAGATCTGGGTGCCGGAGCCGGACCATTCAGAGCTGCCTGCTCTGTGGTGGGATGCAATCTCGGACAAATGTCTGCTGCTGGGTGTCTATAAGCATGGTAAGAAACTTCAGCTCTTTCTCGGCCTTGTTTCTGTATAAATATATAATCCAAAAATATATATGTAAGATTTAATATGGGGGCTGCAAGGTGGCGCAGTTGGTAGCACTGTTGCCTCGCAGGTTGCCGGTTCGCGTCCCGGTGGGGGCACCGGAATCTTTCTGCGTGGAGTTTGCATGTTCTCCCCGTGCAGCGTGGGTTCTCTCCGGGTTCTCTGGCTTCCTCCCACACAGTCCACACAGTGTTGAGGTTAATTGGTGATTCTAAATTGTCCGTAGGTGTGAATGTGAGTGTGCTTGGTTGTCTGTCTCTAAGTGTAGCCCTGTGATAGACTGGTGACCTGTCCAGGGTGTCTCCTGCCTTCGCCCTGAGTCAGCTGGGATAGACTCCAGCCCCCCGAGACCCTAGTGAGGATTAAGCGGTGTAGAGATAATGGATGGATTTAATATGGGACTGTTTTCAGTGTCTGTGGTCACTTTGCCGAAAGGAAAAAGAATAATCTGTATCTTATATTAAACACTAACAAACGTCTATGTTAGAGTCCCAGTGTTTAAAGTTACTGACTGATCACTTTGTAAAGTGAATACATAAATAACTGTTACTGCTGGTGTCACTTTTTTAGCCTGTTTTTTCCATTGATACCAAGTGATTGTGGGAAACCAAGCAGCTTGTGCATATTTCTTGGTGACTATCTATGAGTTTCCATTCATTCAACTTTGCTAACTTTGGTGTTTGCTTTTCCTCTGTGCCCTCGCAGGTTATGAGAAGTACAACACTATTCGTGCAGACCCTACCCTGTGCTTCCTAGACCGTGTGGGACGACCGGACGACAAAGCCATCGCTGCCGAACAGAGAGGCAATGACTTCATGGATGGGTGGGTACACATCACCAGTCAAGGACCTGATAAATACCGTGTAGCTGTGATTGGCTGGTTTGGACATCTTATAAACTGTCATCTGCAAAAATGACACAAATTTGATGTGTGTGTGTGCAGGGATGTGGATGATCCTGAATACAAGCCTGCTCCAGCCCTGCTGAAGGACGACATGGAGGTAAGGCTTCAAATATGAAAGGAATACGTTGAGGAAACTTTGTTAATTTGATGTAGTTCAATTTGCCATCAAATTACTACGGTCTGGTAACCTTAAATCTCTAGTCCAAGTATAATCCTGCAGCCTTGTCCTTCCATAAACACACACTGTCCTCTTGTGCAGGATGACGCCTCTTCTCCTGGAGACCTGGTTGTCACTGACAATGCTGGAGGTGAGTATTCGGTGTTTGTGAACCACACAGGCAGAAAAAACAGAAAATAAGCAGCATTTAATGATTGTGGGTATTTGAATGTACTTTGATCCAGATGCAGTTCCAGTGACGGAGGGTGAATCTGCCTTCTGGCCCTCCCCCTCAGTGCTCACAGCCAGACTGAGGCGTCTGATCACAGCTTCCCAGCGATACACTAAGAGCCGGCAGATCCTGCACATCCACCAGGCTCAGTCTCAGTCCCAGCAGACCATGATACTGGCTGCCCCACTCTGCCCGCTGCCCCCCACACTCAACGACACCCTCAACCCCAAGATGGCTGCTAAGATTGAACGCCAACAAAGGTCAGAACACACATCACATCAGTGATGGCTGAGAAAGAAATTATTCAAAACATCTGAGATCCACATATGCTTGTTATTGGTATTATTTATATGATTAAGATCTCATTAAACATGTTCTGCTTTCCACAGGTGGACCAGGCGCGAAGAGGCTGACTTCTATCGTGTTGTCTCCACTTTCGGTGTCGTCTTTGACCCAACCCTTGGGCGGTTTGACTGGACCAAGTTCAGGGCCATGGCTCGGCTGCACAAGAAGACTGATGAGAGCCTGCAGAAATACCTGTGTTCTTTCACCGCCATGTGCCGACGGGTGTGTCGACTTCCACCCAAGGAAGGAGGTTAGAAGCCTATTTGCTTATTCACACAAACAAACACACCGACAAACCATGAGTTTGTGTTTCTGTACACCTGCAGTGAAGATGTTTGGAGACCTAAACGACTGCATGGCGGCTCTGAACAGCTGCCTAAAGAGAGTCTTTTAACGATTTGATCATAACAAGAAAATATGCCTCCCCCATGGCTATTTTTTTTAAATATTTTGTTTTTTTATTTTACTGACAAATAACTGCATGCAAACACATTACTTCATCTACTATGTGCCACACTCATTTCTGACTATGTGCTTTTATTTTGGAGCGAGGTCAGTGGCACCTTGGTAAACAAGCTGGCTCAGCAGTACTGAAGTAGACACTGATAAGGTTAATCATTTGCGGAAAGACAAACAGTGTAATGTTCGAGCTACCAGCACAAACAAGTCTTTGGGTTGTACCTGGAGAGAAGCCTCCATGTCCTCACACCTGCTTCGTGTTTTTTTGTTCCAGATTGTGCAGTGGACCCTTCTCTGACCATCCAGCCCATCACAGAGGAGCGAGCGTCGCGAACCCTGTACAGGGTGGAGTTGCTTCGCCAGGTGCGGGAACAAGTCCTTCGACATCAGTTGCTCTATGAGCGCCTGCCGCTGTGCCAGATGAGCTCTGACTTACCTGTCTGGTGGGAAGCTGGTACTCATGACCGTGACCTGCTAATCGGTGCTGCGAAGCACGGCGTCAGCCGCACTGATTACCACATTCTGAGAGACCCTGAGCTCAGCTTTATGGCTGCTCAAAGCAATTACAGCCAAACAAAAGCTGCACAGCAGCAGCAACCGCGTACATCCACCCCACTCCTACACCCTCAGTACCAGGCTGCCAGCTCAATGTTGACGGGCTCTCCTCTGCCCCCACCTGCCCAGAGAGACACAGATCCCTGTGGGATTGTGCCCAAAGTGGAACCAACCTCAGAGGCGGAGGAGGGCAAGGAGAGGCAGGGAGAGAGTTGGAGCCCCCCTCAGGCGCCAGCTACTCCCACAGGTCTGGAAGAGAAGCCTGTTCCAGTGGCAAGAGACAATGAGAGGCAGATGGTGGCAGCACGAACCAAACCCCTCACACCTAACTCCTCAGAGAGGAAACCCAAGAAGGCCAGCAAGAGGGGCCGCAGGGAGGCCAGGCATGGCTCAGTGTCCGACTCAGATGGCTCCTCCTCAAGCTCTTCATCACGCTCCTCTTCCTCTTCTTCATCATCCTCTTCTTCCTCATCACATTCCGGGTCCAGCTCCTCCTCCTCTTCATCATCCTGCTCCTCTGGCTCTTCATCGTCCTCCTCCTCTTCCTCCTCTTCCTCTGATGACAGTGACAGTGAGGGAGAGGAAGGGAAGAAGAAAGGTGAGTGACTGTTACTGTTTTTATTGTGTAGGTTCCAAAAAACTAAAATCTCTTCACGTTTGGTTTGGAGTAAAAGAAGAAAATAGAGTGTACTGTGTTAATGTGAGTCTTCTTGTTTTAATCTGAGAATAGGTCTTTGCACGCCTGAAGGTTTCTGATGTCTGTCTCTGTGTCCTGTCATGTTCTCAGTGCCTGCAGCAACCAGTGTAAAGGGCTTTGATGAGGACAGTGTGGCATCTCTGAGCACAACACAGGATGAGACACAAGACACCCATGTAGCTGAGAATGGCATCGCCAACAACTCCTCTCATCCTTTCCAGGGAGGAGGATACATGCTCGCTGCATCCTACTGGCCAAAGGTGAATTACTGTACATGTGTGCAATCCAGTCTCTGCTGTTGACAGTGCATGGCTTATATATCATCTGAGACATCATTAGTGTTGGTTAGCATTTGTTGTAAGTATGTAGTCACCAAAAAATATATATTTGTCTATGGAGGAGAGCTCTCATGATGTAAGTCATGGAAACAGATCAGTATGTACATTGACAGCAAAATCAACATGTTGTGTTGTTCTTGATTAGGATCGCGTGATTATCAACCGCCTGGACAGCATCTGCCAGGCAGTGCTCAAGGGCAAGTGGCCCGGAACACGTCGGGTCTACGAACCTGGAGGTGCAGTAGCCTCCTTTTACACCACCAAGCTGCTGGACAACGCCAACAGCCTCAGCGAGGACCCCTCTGCCTCACCACAGGGGTCAAAGGTGACCAAGCATGTTGCAGAAAACAAGGAGTTCTCAGTAAAACTGAACGATGTATGTTGATTTCTCCCTTCCTCCCCTCCTCCCTCCGCTTCGCCCTAATCGTAGGACCCTCCCACTTCTGCTGCCATGACCGGTGTTAGCTGCAGTGTTCAGCATGTTTCTCTGGTTTTCTTCCTGCTTTCCTTTGGGTATGATTAGTGGTTTTGACTGCCTGGCAGGAGAAGAGATTAATTTAATAGCAGCCTTCCTCTCTTTTTCCCACACACTCAATTTGAATTGGGCTCTCAGGCTGTGATTACATGAGCACAAATCATTCAGTCATGAGAATATAATAAGGTTCAGTTTGAAGCCTCTCTAGACTGAAGGGGTCTTGCTAATAATCTGATTGAAATGGAGACCTCTGCTGTGGGTGTTCTCTAATATGCTTCTAGGCAACGTGGTGGGTTTGGCAGGCTTCCGATTTGCTTTTATTTATTCCTTTCTTTTATCTTTTTCCAACTCTCATGGTTTTTACCATTGCAGCTCCTCAAACACCTGCTGCCTGTTACCTTCAAAATTGGGACTTTATGTGCTGATAGCAGCTATCTCTTTGGCATGGCTTTCAACTACAGTCCAAACTATGACTAGACTTTACCCACTGCCCTGCTAAGCACTACCCACTGTGTGTCCATGTGTCCCAGTAATACTAACAACAAAACACCTGAACAACATTTGCTGTTATTCTGAGATGAACTTATTTTTAAGATGACTTTATAACACAGATTGCAATTCAGCATACCTAAAGAGCAACACAAACAATACAACAAGTTCACTTTGTGACCCTTAAGTCTAATGATACACAAAGAGAATGCTTCCACATGTAAACACTGATGCAGTAACAGACCCAGTGAACCGATTAAGTCCAGCATTTCTCCTTGTTTGTAGTTCTGTATGTTTGCCCTGTAGCTGTTTTCCTAGACTTGTCTCATGCTGTTGCATCTGTGTACAGCAGGAGGGAGGTCTGAAGCTGACCTTCCAGAAGCAGGGTCTACCTCTGAAGAGGCCCCTGGAGTCTGAGGAAGGCCCCCAGGCCCAGCAGCAGTACCTGGCCCGGCTTCATGAGCTGCAAAGTGCGTCAGACACAGGCCTGGCTGACATCACCAAGCCTCAGTGCAGCTTCCAGACTGGTGTGTTTTTCTTCTTTTTATTGATGCTGTTTTTAAATGCATCAAATACTTATATCTGACATACAGCTCAATACAAATGTCTGAGGACCTGTGCATACAGAGCCTGTCTTCCTTTATCACCACTAGATGGCAGCAAAGCACCATTCTGACATCAGTTTTTTGTGCCTATTGGCTTTGTTTACACAGATAATTATGGAATGGAAAATGTGTGTATTCATTCTGTCTGATATCGGAGTTGTTTGTACATTTAAGTTACAAGTGGTGAAAGTCAGAAAGTGATTGTGCTCACAGTTTTAAGCAAAATTCAAGATGTATGTCGAAGCTTCACTATTTACATCTAGTTAGCATTTAGTGTGAGACGGTAGTTCTCAGCTGAAAGACTGGTCCTTCTGCAGCTCCTCCAGGTCTTACAGGCCAGATGAGGCTGAATGGAGTCCTGGACGGCCAGCCAGTGGTTAAGAGGCGGAGAGGGAGGAGGAAGAACGTGGAGGGAGTGGACCTCCTCTTCATGAACAAGAGTCGAGTCCCTGCTGTTCCTGATCAGGTAAACAGTTCTGTTTTTCTTTTCAGGAGGGACATTAGTCCCAATAGCTGTTCTAACCAAGAAATCAGAAAAAGAACCACACAGAGTGAGCCGTGTGTTATAAGTTGTGATGTATAACATCGTTCTGTGTTCATGTGTTTCCAGATGCCTCCAGGGTGGGGGGGTATTGGCCAGGTGGGCATGGCTGTTCCTGGCTATAGCCAGAGCTCCAGTCAGGTCCCCGGAGACACTGAGACCAGAGTCCCTGTTATCAACCTCAAAGATGGCACCCGGCTTGCCGGGGACGACGCTCCCAGGAGGAAAGACCTGGAACAGTGGCTAAAAGAGCACCCTGGCTTTGTGGCAGACACAGGAGCCTTCATTTGTGTGAGTCCTCCTTTCAGATAGACGCTCAAAGCAGGTTCAGAATGTGGCCGTCAGATAACTCCAACCATCAGGGCAGTGCTTCATTCTAAATTGTAGTCACACTTAAAGGAGTTTTATTTTGCCAGTGCCAATAAGTGTAGAGTCAGTCCCTAGTTACTTATTTTACTGAAACACAGTTGTCTTTCCGTTTCATGTCTAGGGGGTAAATAAAATGCAAATGCAGTTCCACTTCCAGGACGGTCGGCCCAAGCAAAAAAGGCATCGCTGCAGGAACCCCAACAAGATCGATGTCAACAGTCTGACAGGAGAGGAGAGGGTCCAGATCATCAACAGGAGAAACGCACGCAAGGTGTGTGTGTACCTGGTTTTATTTGTGGCTCTGAAACACACAAACTGAGTTGTAGCTTTGTCAATAACTGCTGGACAGACCGTAGGATCCAACTATTACATTGTTAAATTAACATCTCTTAATATAATACAGTTCAGATACTACTGGCAGCTTAAACAGGCTGTAAAACAAGTGAGAACTGAATGATTTGAACTTTATTTGCAGAGGTAGCTGAGCCAGGCCACTGTGTGCTTTCTAAAGGTTGTCTGTTGTGCACTTGGGTTCATGGTTTGTGTTTCCTGTAGGTTGGTGGAGCCTTCGCTCCCCCTTTGAAGGATCTGTGTCGCTTCCTTCAGGAGAACCCTGAGTACGGAGTCCCACCTGAATGGGCTGATGTGGTTAAACAGTCGGTGAGTAGCAAAGTAACACATCCATCACACCTGAACCATCAGTGGATGATGTCACATCAGAAAAGACCAATTTGATGAGTTAATATACAGTCAGCTGCTAATTTATGAGGTACTGCTCACTGAAACGATTGCTATCTAGTACAATGGCAGTAAAATTCACATGTATCATACTGAGAGGTGTTTCTAATATTTTGTCCACTCCATTTATACCAGTGATGTCAGAATAAATAACGACATTTGAACATTATTACCTTCATGAATATATAATTTGTTGTTGACTGCAGTACATTTAGCTCAGTGTACTTAAGCTAGCAGTGATTATGTTTACTACTGTTATCAGACACGCTGTGTATTTGTAATAAACTAATGTGTGCCTGTGCTGTGCAGCTCTGCTAACCCTGCTCATGTTCCCTGTCTTATCCAGGGTTACCTCCCAGAGAGCATGTTCGACAGGATCCTGACGGGGCCCATCGTTCCTGAGGAGGTGAGCCGGCGAGGACGTCGACCTAAGAATCCTTTGGCCAAGGCGGCAGCAGCAGCGGCAGCACCCAACCAAGCAGCCTCTGCCCTGGGGTTGAACCCCCTGCTGGCCAACGGTCTCCTCTCCGGAATGGACCTCACCAGTCTGCAGGCCTTCCAGCAAAACCTCCAGAGTTTACAGTCCCTGCAGCTCACCGCAGGCCTGATGGGGCTGCCGTCCGACGCTAACCTGGCCGCAAGTAACCTCGCTGCCATGTTTCCCATGATGCTGTCTGGCATGGCTGGATTGCCAAACCTGCTCGGAATGAGCAGCTTGCTCGGGAAGTCTGCTCAGGAAGGCGCAGGAGGCTCGGAAGAGAAGACAAAGGGAATCACCAGCGGTGGAACAGGAGAGCCGTCTGCCTCTAAAGCCCCGTCTCACACCTCAGACACCAAAGGAGAAAGGACAGAGGGCTCGAACACGACTCCTTCCTCCACTTCCAGCTCTGCTTCCTCTGCCACCGCCACACAAAGTGCTTCAGCTGCCTCTGCAGCCTCCAGTCACCCACTTTCTCTTAACCCCTTGTTACTCTCCAGTATGCTTTACCCAGGGATGCTTCTCACTCCAGGCCTTAACCTTCCTGTGTCCACCACACAGCCGCAGAGCTCAAACAGTGACCCCACCCTTCCAGCTGCTCCGCCTTCAGCCTCCCAGTCATCAGCGCAGGAGACGGAGCGGCCACAGGCAGAGAAGGATGGAGAGGAGGAGGAGGACGAGGCATTAGAAGAGGCTTTGGATGACGAAGACGAGGAGGAGGAATCCACAGAACAAAAAGACAACAGTGGTCCTGAAGGTTCAGGGAAAGCCGAGTCATCTTCATCAGAATCTGGGAGCTCTTCCTCATCCTCAGACGATTCAGACTCAAGTGATGAGGACTGATTCTATGAATATATAATTATAAATTTATTTATGTATCGCCTAGAAATGTATACATATATTCACATATATATGGATTTTCCAGCACTTATGTTGCGATTTCTTTACATGTAAATACAAGAACTAACTACGATGTTGTGTAATAAAGAATACAAAAATCTAGAAAAAAAACAAAACATAAAAAAACAACAACAAAAAAAAAAAAAACAGCAAAAACTGACCTAAAAGGAACTGAAGTAAAATGTCAATGTTTGTTCACAAGGTACAGTCTTGTTTTGAGACATTTTGCATGTCAGACTTTAGTAGATTTCTGAACTCTGTGAAATTGTACCACGCGATTATGTACAATTGCAACAAAAAAGGCATTATTGTAATTATGTCAGGATTAATTTTATTAAAAAAGTGAAACTACATCAACACGCTCGTTGAGCTGTACTATTAATATATTTTGATTGTCGGGGGTGCGGGGATCGACACTTTGGTTTCTCTTGTAAATATTCAGTACTTTTACAGGTTGGTTGACACTTATGCTTTGCAGATCATACGTTGGATATGTCAGCAATAACTTGGGCAGCTAATGAATGTCACTGAAGCTGTAGATTCTCTTTCTCTGCCATGTTCCACCCCAGTGCACAACTCACACGGCCTCACCAACCTGTCACTTAGCTTCATATCACGTTAAAGAGCTTATTTTTCATTTTGTTCTGTTTGGAAAAAAAAAAAAAAGAATTAATGGGAAGCTCCCTCTTGAATAGTATTATTTTTTTTTTCAATCAAGCAAACTAAAATTCTTGAAAGTTGATTGTGATTTATTTCTGTCGTTTTTTTTTTCTTATCTAATTTTAGAAACTCTTCGTTTTCACCATCACCTTACAAACATGCCACAACATGTTCAAGGCGCACTTTAGCTACCCGCATTAGGCGTACACATTCACTTGCACATGTCTTGATCCAGACTAAAAAGCTCCTCCTGCTGGGGTGATGGAAAACAACCTTCTACTGTGTGCCAAAAAAAACAAAACAAAGAAAAAACAACTGCCCTTTGACCGTTTGTGGTCCTGACAGAGTTGTGGGGTCTCTGGTAGTGGAAGGATTCTTCATGATGGGTATTATTATTACAGCCCCGGCGTATTTGACTGCATCTTACCTCAACTTTGCTAAACTGATTGGCTTCACTGTGCAAATGTACATGTGCATGGGTGCGTTACCTTGCTGTCCACGTACACGACGCCCTCGTCTCTGCTGGAATGTGTGTCTCGGTGGCCTTTTTTGTTTTTGTTTCGTTTTTTTTACTGAGAGCTTCCACTGTGTTTTGCTCGGCTGGGCTGCTCCTCACACCTGGTATCTACAGCTTCCATAACTTTCCAGTCTGAATGTTATGTGTTGGAGGGGAGGGAGGGGAGGGGAGGGGAGGGAGGGGGTTCCTCGCTTCAAATGTGTCTCATTAGAAATTTGAAGGATCTTAAAAGTCCCGTGTTGAGATTATGTGTTGCATGAAAACTTGCTGAACATATGTGGCACAAGCACAAAATAGTTCAAGTCCTGGTTAAAGATTGTAGTGACTGTCGTCGTCTTTGAGGATCACATTTTACGCAGTGCCAGACGGGTTTGCTTACGAAGGGCTTGTGTTGCTTTGCGGGGGGGGTTGTGTGCAGCATTTGTCTCGTTGTGTTTCGCTTCGTCCTCGACTCTGTCCTGCTGACGGACAGAGCTTCAGCTAGATGTAGAAGTGCCCTTATCCTCACTCTCTCATTCGACCGCTCACATCTGTGCTCAGTGTCCTCTGCTTGTGCATTTTCTTCAGCATCCCTGCACATGTCCATTTTAAGCTGTAACCAGGATACACACAAACACTGGGGTTCACTCGAGCCGAAGTACCTTTTTGTAATTCTCTCTAGCACAACAGTGCTCGCTCTAGGACTGCTGTTACACAGTGGACTGTTAGATATACAAATGATTTCCGAGCTGAAGTTCCTGTTTGGGCTGAGGGCGACAGCCCGCTGAATTAACAGTTTAGTTCTTAAATAGTTGTAGCATCGTTCTCTCGTGGGTTCAACCATGAACACAAAGACTGAAGACACGTCTGATTTCTAATGTTGCTTTAAAGTGGTTTTCTTGTATGCCTGTTCTATATAGACCTCGTCATGGGTTTGCTTGCAATGCAATTGCATTTTTTTTATTATTATTATTACTAACAGTACGGTATTTTTCTATGTCTGAGCAATGAACTTAAACATGCCACTGTCATTTTGTATATCTGCACCTCTGCTCTCTTTAAACTTGTAGTGCCCTTATGCAAACACCCAGCCACTGCTACGTCTGCTGTAGGTGACTGATCTAATGACTTTTGCTACTTTTTGTTGCCCCACAGCGATGGGTCGATGAATCGATGACTGTGCTGAGCCTCTTTAGGACACAAATGGGGGGAAAAAAATGTTGACGTAAGATGGGACTTTATTTGCTTTCATTTGCTTTTCTTCTAATTATTATGATTTTCTTTTGGTTGTACTGTGCGAGGACTCCCAACCCACTGCTAGCGCTACAGAAGCGGTGCTGAATCTGGGTTAGACGCAGACACAAGTAAACAATGACCAATATGCAAGAGGAACGACAAAACACACTACTGCTGTACAGGGAGGTTTCCTTTCAGTTTTCATGCTTGTGATCACTGAGACGACAAAACTAGCATCATGGGTTTTGTATTTTGATTTCAAGCTTGATAATATTCTAAATGTCACCCTGGTCAGTTTGTGTCTTTTTTTTTTTTTTTTTCTTTTGTTTTTTTTTTCCTTCTCTATTTCTTTTTCATTGGACAGTTGTAATATTTGCAAGTTGTGCTCTGTGTAGTCAATAATTCTTCATGTAGTGCAGGAAAACACGTCTTAAAAGTCATTTGTAATTTATTGGATTACTTTCTATGAAGTTCTATAGAGGAAATTGAGGTTTAATTATTTTTATTAAACATATTCTTCTGACTATCAATTAAGTGTGCCTTTGCTTTTTGCTTTGACGTTTTTTGGCAGCCGTTTCTTTATATAAAAGCTAAAGGAGTGTTTAATCCATAATGTCTCACAGAGCCTGTTGGTGCCAAGAAATAGTCTGGAAGCCTGATCCACAGGTGTTACTGCTGTGTTCTGGTTTAGCTTTTATGTCTCCTATCTTTTGTTTTAATGATTCTTAAGAACAGAAAAACAGACATATTTACTTATGTTAGACCTGATTCTTTAGTTGGAAGCCCGAGAACAAGCCGGAGAAATCTTCAGTTGTATAATGTATTTATTTCAGTCACAGGTAAAGTGAGGCAGCGCTGGAATTCAGAGGGACAGAGAGGAATCTCATGTCCAGCTGAACTGAG